AAAAAAAAAAAAAAAAAAAAATTAGGGGTGATATTTTTGTGCATAAATACAAAATGCACAACATGACAAGGCATTAGAGACGCCACATAGTCTCTCCACGGATCCCAGGTTCAGAATGCATTATTTCTTTTTGTTTGTTTGTTTTTTGAATTGGCATCTCACTCTTGTCACCCAGGCTGGAGTGTTCACGGCCATCACAGCCTCGACCTGCTAGGCTTAGGCGATCCTTTCACCTCAGCCTTCCAAGTAGCTGGAACTACAGATACACACCACCATACCCATCTAGTTTTTTGTGATTTATTGTAGAGATGAGGTCTCACCAAGTTGCCCAGGTTGGTCTTGAGCCCCAGAGCTCAGGCAATCCTCTCGCCTTGGTCTCCCCTCTCGCCTTGGTTTCCCAAAGTGCTGGGATTACAGAGTGCGTCACTGCGCTCACCCCACATTATTTCTTTTTTTGTTTGTTTGTTTGTTTTTTTGAGCTGGAGTCTCACTCTGTCGGCCAGACTGGAGTGCAGTGGCCGCTCCCGGCCACCGCAGCCTCGCCTGCTGGGCTCCAGCTATCCTTCTGCCTCAGCCTTCCGCGTAGCTGTAATTACAGGCATGCGCTACCATGGCCGGCTGATTTTTCATTTATTGTAGAGATGAGGTCTCGCTGCCTAGGTGGGTCTCGAACCCACGGGCTCAGGCAATCCACTCACCTCAGCCTCCCAAAGGCGCGGGATTACAGGCTGAGCCACCGAGCCCGGCTTCATTCACTGACACTTTAAATGCATTATGTTCCTCAAAAGATCAGTAACTAAAGAGAATGTTTTGCATTTTCAACAACTCGTCACGATAAACAACACTCTATGTAAAAAAAATTGAGTTGCTACCACAAAAAGAACACAGCGTCGCAAGGCACAGTGGCTCAAGCCTGTAATCCCAGCACTTTGGGAGGCCAAGGCAAGAGGATTGCCTGAGCTCAGGGGTTCGAGACCAGCCTGGGCAACTTGACGAGACCTCACCTCTACAACAAATCAAAAAATTAGCCAGGCGTGGTGGCACATGCCTGTGGTTCCAGCTACTTGGAAGGCTAAGGCAGAAGTATCACCTGAGCCCAGCAGGTAGAGGCTGCGATGGCCGTGAGCATTGCATTGCACCCCAGCCTGGGCGACAGAGTGAGACTCCAACTTTAAAAAAAATAATAATAATAATAATACAGTGTCACAAAGGAAAATTTTAAAAAGGTCAGAGCCACAAAGTGAAACTGGAGTGCCTTATAACCACTATGTCAGCACAGGAGCGTTGAACTAAAATATGTTTGTAAGATCAATGATTGGCATACACTCATCTCACCTGGATTTCCAGAGAATTCCTTTTCATTACCACTGTTATAGCTTAAAAATTTTACTGTAAATCTCTGTGTCATTATTCCTAGAAACAAAACAAAATAAAAATATAATGTGCACCATTTCACTAGGAAAAAAACTATCCCCATAGTGTTTTACCTTAAAATTGTATTTGACGTGCAAAAAAAAAGGCTCTTTGATTAAATCATAAATACACATAAAAAACAAGTCTGACTTAGTTTTGTATGTTACAATTATGAAAATCTTGAAGAAAGAAAAACAACTTAAACTGAAAGCATTCTTGCTACCCTCGTCCAACTGACCTTTCTGGTGGGCATTAATTTCTGCTCTAATAATTTTGATATTTATTTCACTGATTGTATCATTATTCCATTTGAAAATATAATGTTCTTCCACATTCACGTTTCTGGAGGCTGATCCATTATTTAAGAGAGTTTCTGCAAAGACAAGTATACATTCATAAATTTAAAGTCCTCTTCAATAAGTTCGGATCTACTACTGGGTAGTTCTCACTGCCTTGATGGTGTCCCCGCCCTTCCTATCTGCAACTCCCTAACACAGTATGGTCAATACTTCCTGGTGGAAGGGAGCCTTCCCTGGTCCACCACGTGAGCATGAGTCGCCTCCCCTGCACTATCATGGTACCCTGAGATCGTCGCTTTCCTTCTATTACTGTAGCTCCAGCACCTGGCCCACAGTCTGTCACAGAGCACACACCTGGTCAAACATTTGTGAAATGAAAGATGACAGAGTGTCTACTCCATAAAAGTCAGGGTCTTCTGTCTAGTTCCCTGCTATCTTACAGGAACTCTACTAACATTAATGAAGTAATGAATAAATTCAAGAATTACAACACACTGAAAAGAAATGCAAATTGTACTCTTCATTAAAATTAAAAATCCCAAATTGGGTGCGATTGCTTTTGCCTGTAATCCCAGCTACTGGGGAGGCTGAGGAAGGAGGACCACTTGAGTCCAGGTGTTCAAGACTACAGGAAACCACTGTAATCCAGCCTGGCCAACAGAGTGAGATCTCACCTCTAAAATAAGAAAAAAAGGCCTGGTAAAATCAGTCAAACTTATTTGGCTACATCACAACCGTGAAGATTATTTATCCAAAAAAGAAGAATGGGCACAGTAGCTCACGCCTGTAATCCCAGCACTTTGGGAGGCTGACGCAGAAAGATGCTTGAACCCAGGAGTTTGAGACCAGCCTAGGCAACATAGCACAACCTCATCTCCACAAAAAAAATTTAAAAATCAGGCATGGTGGCATGTGCCTGTAGTCTTATCTACTCAGGAGGCTAAGACAGGAGGATTGCCTGAGTACAGGAGTTTGAGGCTGCAGTGAGTTATGATCACACCACTGCACTGCAGCCTAAGCAACAGAGGAAAACTGTTTCTTAAAAAAAGAAGAACTAGAAGGGATCCTGGAACTCATGCAATCCAGGACTGTAAAGGAACTGGCTCAAAGTCACAAAAAGTCCACTAGAGCAAAGCAAGACAGAACCAGGAACAAATGAAATGTATGGGGCATTATTCTAACTGCGTGCACCTCTTCAAATTCCTAATAAAAATTTATTTTACTCTGGGACAATGTATTACTTATAAGATAAGACGTATATATTTCTGTAGAAATGACATAAAAGTGTAGTATTAAAATACCTGTATTGGTGATGAATTTGTCTAGGTCAGCTGCTTCCTCATAGATTACTTTTGGTGTAACTATGCCTGAAAAAAATACACAAATTGACTTCCACAGCACTACGTGGTCTACCAAAGAAAAGCTTATTAAGCAAATATGGCAACTACGTAAGTCTGCACCTGCCTGTGTGCTGACTACAAACCGTTCCCCACTCCCCACCGCTGTCAGATGAGAATGCCACTCCTCTTAGCATCTAGTTGTAACTGAGGAGGACAATCAGTGGCAATAGTCTGGTGTGTCACTCTCACGCAAGAACACACACAGCGGCCATAAAGAGAACAAAATCCTGCTCTTCGCAGCAACGTGGATGGAGCTGGAGAACATCATCGTAAGTGAACTGACTCAGAAACAGAAAGTCAAACACCGCATGTTCTCACTTACACACGGGAGCCAAATGGTCCCAGAGATGGCGATAAAAGACACCAGGGACACTAAAAGGGGGAGAGTGGGGAGTCAGGGTTCAGAGATACCAACTGGGTATAATGTTCGCCATCTGGGCAATGAGTCGCCTGAGACCCAATCCCCACCAGTAACAAACATGGACATTAGCAAGCATGCATCTGCACCCTCTGAATCTAAAATAAAAATATTTTTAGGCTGGGCACAGTGGCTCATGCCTGTAATTCCAGCAGTTTGGGAGGTGGAAGCAAGAGGATTGCCTGAGCCCAGGGTTTGAGACCAGCCTGGGCAACTTGGTGAGACTTCGTTTCTACAATAAATCAAAAATTTAGCCGGGCATGGTGGTGCATGCCTGTAGTTTCAGCTACTTGGAAGGCTGAAGCAAAAAGATCACCTGAGCCTAGCAGATCAGGGCTGTGGTGGCTATAAGCGTGACACTGCATTCCAGTCTGGGCAAAAAAAAGTTTTAAAAAAGAACACATATGCAACACAATGCTGGTGGAATGTAAAATGGTGAAGCCACTGTAGAAAACAGTTGGTGGTTCCTTAAAAAGTTGTATTACCAGCCAGGCTCAGTGGCTCAGCCTGTAATCCTGCACCTTTGGGAGGCTGAGGTGAGTGGATTGCCTGAGTCCGCGCATTCAAGACCTGCCTGGGCAACTTGGCGAGACCTCATCTCTACAACAAATCAAAATGAACTGGGCATGGTAGTGCGCGCCTGTAGTTCCAGCAACTTGGAAGGCTGAGGCAGAAGGATCACCTGAGTCTACCAGGTCGAGGCTGTGGTAACCTTGCCCTGCACTCCAGTCTGGGTGAGAGTGAGACTCCGACTCAAAAAAAAAAAAAAAAAGTCATATTACCATATGATATGACAATTCCATTCCTTCCTAGGTGTCTACTCAAGAGAAATAAAAACATACATCCACACAGTCAGTCAAAATGGCATGAGGTACTGACATATGCTACATGATGAATCTTAGACACATCACACTAAGTGAAGGAAGCCAGACATAAAAAAGCCACATATATGATTCCATTTATGTAAAATATTCAGAACAGGAAAATCCATAGAAAAAGAAAGTGTGCTAATGGTTGTCCTGGAGGGAGAATGGGCAGCACAGGGTCTCCTAATGAGGTGATGGAAATGCTATAGAACCAGATAGAGGTGATGAGGACACAACCCTGTGAATGTACTCAAAGTCGCTGAACTATACTCTTTAAAATGGTTAATTTTGTTTGAACTTGACTTAAATGTTCCAAAAAAAAAACTAATATGCAATATGCTGTCTTATGGAACTAAACTTTTTCCAAAGAAAACACTTTCCTTAATTGGCAGCTGAATTTTTTTTTTTTTTTTTTTTTTTTTTTGAGTCGAGTATCACTCTGTTGCCCAGGCTGGAGTGGAGTGGCATGCACATGACCACCACAGCCTCAACCTGCTGGGCTCAGACAAACCTTCCACCTCAGTCTTCCAAGTAGCTGAAACTACAGGTGTGCACCACCATGCCCAACTAATTTTTTTGATTTATTGTAGAGACAAGGTCTTGCCATGTTGCCCAGTCTGGTCTCAAACCTCAGACTCAGGCAATCTTCTTGCCTCCACCTCACAAAGTGCTGGGACTACAGGTGTGAGCCACTGCACCCAGCTATGGCAGTTGAAATATTATTTTAAGTTGATCCAGTAGAAGTGATTTTTAATCTCATGAGATCATAGTTTATCTTAATACTCAGGTCTGTGTTCTTTTTTTCAAAGAAATGTTACCAGGTGTGGTGTCTCACACCTGTAATCCCAGCACTTTGGGAGGCTGTGATGGGAAGACGGCTTGAGCCCAGGTGTTCTGAGGCCAGCCTAGGCAACATAGAAAGACCTTGTCTTTACAAAAAATGCCCAGGAGGTTAAGGCTGCAATGAGCCATGATCGTGCCACTGCATCCCAGTTTGAGAAACAGTAAGACTCCAACTCAAAAAATATACATATTTCCCTGACTTCAGTAAAACATCTAATTGATTTGCTAATCAAAAGAAAGGTAACATACCTCCTGTAGCACCATTCTTTATCTTCACATTGGTAATACCATCTCGTTCCTGGTATACTTCCAAATTAGTAATGCAGTTAACATCAAAATTCTGAAGAAATGCCACTGGGGCATTCCAAATACACTGCCCAGCTAGGGACGCCTGAGAGTGAGGGACAAACAGGATAGATTTATGGCCTCTCTTCTATCCATAAAACATTGATCAATGTCTCTTAAAATTGTTCCTTCTACAGCCTCCTAGTGCTCAATTGGTTTCAACAGTAGCCAGTTCACTGACTAGCTGACCAACTTCAGTAAAACATTTAACTGATTTGCTAATCAAGCTCTGGAAGCTACAGGTCCCATAAATATTATTTAATTTTAAAAATCCCTTGGCCAGCTCTGTTTACTTTATAGAGATATGATTACATTCAACTTTACTTTCTCTCCTTCATCAGAACCAGATTTTTTTTTTTTTCTTTTTTGAGTTGGAGTCTCATTCTGTCACTCAGATGGGAGTGCAGTGGCCGCTCCCGGCCACTGCAGCCTCGACCTGCTGGGCTCCGGCAATCCTTCCGCCTCAGCCTTCCAAGTAGCTGGAACTACAGGCGCGTGCTACCACACCTGGCTAATTTTTGATTTATTGTAGAGATGAGGTCTCGCCAATTGCCCAGGCAGGTCTCAAACCCCCGGGCTCAGGCAATCCACTCACCTCGGCCTCCCAAAGTGCTGGGATTACAGGCTGAGCCACCAAGCCCGGCCAGAACCAGATTTTTTTAATACCAGAAAAATGGATTCATATGAATAGTAAAGAGAAATGGTTCTCTCGTGCTTTCTTCCCATAAATATTGCTCTTCATAATGCTGAACTTAAAAAAAATTTCAGATCAGGCACAGTGGCTCATCCCTGTAATCTCAGCACTTTGGGAGACGGAGGTGAAAGGACTGCCTGGGCAGGTGTTCGAGACCAGCCTGGGCAACTTGGCAAGACCTTGTCTCTACAATAAATCAAAAAATTAGCTGGGTGTGGTGGTACATGTCTGTAGTTCCAGCTACTTAGAAAAACTGAAGCAGAAGGATCACCTGAGCCCAGAAGGTCGAGGCTGTGGTGGCCGTGAGCATGCCACTGCACTCAAGCCTAGGGAACAGTGAGACTCCGACTCAAGAAAAAAAATATTTCACATAAAACCTTATAGCCTTAAAATATGTTTCAAGACCAGGCACAGTGGCTCACACCTTGTGAGGTGGAGGAAGGAGGATCACTTGAGCCCAGGAGTTTGAAACCAGTTTAGGATAGCAAGATCTAGTCTCTACAAAACATAAAAAATTAGTTGGGCATGGTGGCATGTGCCTGTAGTCCTTGCTACTCGATAGGCTGATACAGGAGGATCACTTGAGCACAGGAGTTGGAGATTGTGGTGAGCCATGATCATGCCACTGCACTCCAGCCTGTGTGACACAGCAAGACCTTGTCTCAAAAAAAAAAAAAAACCAAATTAGACCTGGCGTGGTGGCTCACACCTATAATCCCAGCACATTGAGAGGCCAAGGTGAGGTGGACAGAATGCCTGAGACCAGCCTGGGCAACATAGTGAAACCTTGTCTCTACAAAAAAATTAAAAATTAGCTGGGTGTGGTGGTGCACACCCACAGTCTCAACTACTTGGGATGCTGAGGTGGAAGGATCGCCTAAACCAAGGAGGTCAAGGCTGCCATGAGCCATGACTGTTGTAATCATACAACTGTACTCCAGCCTAGATGACAGAGTGAGATTTTGAGTCAAAAAAAAGAATCAGGTGTAGTAGTGTGTGCCTAAAATCCCAGCTACTGGGGGGGATGGGGACGGGAAGACGGGTGAGGCAGGAGGATTGCTGGAGACCAGGAGCTCAAGGCTGCAGTGACCTATGATCACACCACTGTACTCCATCCAGCCTGAGTGACAGAGCAAATTTTAAGAAAAATTTTTTTTTTCAAAATTCTAGAATGTAATATAAAATGACATAGCTTGCCAAAAGTTGGCGATTAAAGCTAACAGAAGTGAAAAACAAAAGTTACTTCCACGGAAATTTATAGAAAATCTTTTGGTTTTAGTTTGTACGTTCTACTCTAAGATTTAGCAATGAGAGTGCTTAATTTGAAATTGACTATTAAAAAAAGAAATCCAGCAAATATAAATAGTCAAATTCCTGGAAAGTCCATAGGAAAAACATTAGTAAGTTAGGAAGTGATTCTAAAGAGCAATATGAACTAAATTAGCGATAGGATGGGAAAAATCAGAGGTAGCATTTAGCATATTAAACTGAAATGATGACCTGCGGAATAGTAAAGTACGCCTTCTCCACAGTCATGATCGGATCTCCTTGTTTATAACCAAAGTCTGCGGCATCTTTTGGATCAGTATGCAGATACACTTCAATGGAAGCGTCCCGTCTGGGGGAGCTGTTCAGCAATAAGAAAGATCATCACCAACAGTCTCATCCTAAGGCTTGCAACTATCAACTGCTAAAACACAATTCTGAGATGGGCGCAGTGGTTCACACCTATAATCCGAGTACTTTGTGTTTCAGCAACATGGGGCCCACTTTAACGTTACTGAGTGTATTTTCATTTTATTTTTTATCTTTTGTTCATTTTATTATTATGAAGTTACAGGGATTCTTTATATATTTTGGACACGATTTTTTTGTCAGATATTGGTACTATGACTGTGTTCCTAAGTTTAAATTACACCAACCCTTTCCACATGTCCTCTCATGCTTAGGGGTGATAGCTGCTTCCTGCAGTTGCTAATGCCAAGATGCCTTCAAGTTCTGTACCCTTTCAGTTACCCACTTTGGCAGTTTATACCTAGTTAACAATGTTTTATATTAAATTATCCCCATCAGACTGGGCGAGGTGGCTCACATCCATAATCCCATCACTTTGGGAGGCCGAGGCAAGAGGATTGCTTGAGCCTAGGAGTTTAAAACTAGCCCAGGCAACATAGTAAGATCTTGTCTCTACAATAAAATTTTTTAAAAGTTAGCTGGGCATGGTGGCATGTGCCTGTAATCTCAGCTACTCAGGAGGCTAAAGCAGAAGGATGTTCTAAGCCCAGGAGGCTGAGGCTGTGGTGAGTCGAGATTGTGCCACTGCATTCCAAGCTGGGTGACAGAGTGACTCAAGAATACATAAATAGGCTGGGTGCAGTGGCTCATGCCTGTAATCCCAGCACTTTGGGAGGTGGGGAAGAGAGGATTGCCTGAGCTCAGGGGTTCGAGACCAGCCTGGGCAACAAGGCAAAACCTCGTCTCTACAACAAATTAAAAAATCAGCCGGGCATGGTGGCACAAGCCTGTCGCTCCAGCTACTTGGAAGGCTGAGGCGGAAGGATCCCCTGAGCCCAGCAGGTCAAGGCTACAGTGGCCGTGAGTGTGTCAATGCACTCCAGCCTGAGTAACGACAGAGTGAGACTCTAACTCAACATAAATAAATAAATAATAAAACACAATTCTTCCTGTAAGTTTTTCTTTACTTTTTAAATTACAGAACTCATGGATATAAATCTTCAACAACACAGAAATGTAAAATACAGAAAGTGAGAGCGCCCAAAAAGCCCACCACTCCTTTCCCACCCTAGAAAAATCACTATGTTGCCTGAGCCCGCGGGTTCGAGACCCACCTCGGCAGCAAGACCTCATCTCTACAATCAATCAAAAAATCAGCCGGGTGTGGTAGCGTATGCCTGTAATTCCGGCTACTTGGAAGGCTGAGGCAGAAGGATCGCCGGAGCCCAGCAGGTTGAGGGTGCGGTGGCTGGGAGTGGCCACTGCACTCCAGTCTGGGTGACGGAGTGAGACTCCAACTTAAAAAAAAAATAAAAAGAAGCTGAACTCGGTGGCTCAGCCTGTAATCCTGCGCCTTTGGGAGGCTGAGGTGAGTGGATTGCCTGAGCCCGCGGGTTCAAGACCCGCCTGGGCAGCGAGACCTCATCTCTACAATAAATCAGAAAATCAGCCAGGCGTGGTAGCGCGCGCCTGTAATTCCAGTTACTCAGAAGGCTGAGGCGGAAAGACGGCCGGAGCCCAGCAGGCGAGGCTGCGGTGGCCGGGAGCAGCCACTGCACTCCAGTCTGGGCGACAAAGTGAGACTCCAACTCAAAAAAAATAAAAATAAAAATAAGATAAAAAAAAGAAAAAGAAAAATCACTATGAATGTTTGCAGGACCCTTTATTTTCAGTGAAGCCCAATTCTTTCTAATGCTTAATGCAAAACAAACTTGCTATCTGAAACCTGGAACTGCACCCTTGAGGAGGTGAACCCCTGTACTCTAGCCTGGGCGAAAAGGTGACCCGTGTTAGCGGTCTATGGAGTGTGGTTTCCCTGGCCCTGGAAAATAACGCCTGCTCCCAGACATGGACACTTACACAGAACCGTGATAGAAGTAGCCGAGGAAGGGCGTGTTGGCAAGTGATGACTGCACACACAGGAAGGGAAACCAATCGGGGACACCATGTGCTGGCCTGGCAGAGCAGAGCTGATCAAACTGAGGACTGACATCACCTCCAAACACACCGGTGAAGCAGGACTGTCCAAACAGTTCCGTTACATTTGGTGAGCACTCCTTGAAAGCAAAATGCAGAGGGGCCATGAGAGGACAGAAGCCTCCACTGTGACTGTGCTTATGAGCTCTTCTAGTGTGCGACGAACACCAACTCTTATGAGTTGAGTAAGCAAGAAACAAATACAATCTCCATCTCATCTAAAAGTGCTTTGTGCCCATAAAATATTTTGGAATATCTTTAGCTAATTCCCCAAATAAGGGGACCTAAGATATCCTCAGCAAACAATAGGAGGAGAAGACAGTACTGAATAGATCCCAGACACGAAAACCACGTTTCTTTTCCGTTGTCATCACCTTCTAGCCCCTAGGCCACAAAAGTCAACGGGCATTTAGAGTGGGGGTGAACAGCCCACATTCCTCAAGAATCCTCGAGGCCCTTACTGTATAACATGACCCAATTAATGTCATCAAGAAGTGACTCGAATTGTTTCCTTAGTTCACAAAGAAGCCAGAGAGCTACGAGTTAAATTATGTCCTGGATCTTTTGTTTATTGGAGGCAGAAAAGTAAGTGATCTATTGTTTGAAACAAGAGTAATTCAAATTAAAAATTGATCGTGCATAAAGGGCTGAGGTGCGGTTATCTAAAGATGTCACTGATCCAGAATACTCAAGAATGCCAGTGGCTGGTGCGGAGTACGTGGTCCAGTAAACAAAACAGGGAGTTAGAAACAGGGAAAAATGATGTGGTCTGGAAGAAAGAGAAGGAGAATACCATTTTGACATCCCTATTGATACCTGAACCAGATTTATGATATGCTTTATTTTTTAATTCAGTATAACTGTTGCTATAAGTATAATTGTTAGTAAAGTTATAATAGTAATGCAGACCCTAAGCTTTCCTTTTCTGTTTTGCAAAACCAAGCATGATAGAGTACTTAACACTTAGTGTACTAAGAGGGTAGATTTATGTTAAGTGTTTTTTCCATAAAAGGAAAAAAAATCAATAACCAAAAACCACCGAGGTGGAAGGAACCCCTTGAAAGTGACGGATAAGTGTGTGGTATTGATTGTGATGATGCGCTCATGGCGTGTGCTTATCTCCAAACACAACACATTGTGTACCTTAAATATCTACAGCTTTCTGTATGTCAGGCATACCTCCATAAAGTGGTTTCAAAACGAATCTGACCCAGCACTTTGGGAGGCCGAGGTGGAAAGATCGCCTGAGCTCAGCAGGTCAAGGTTGCGGTGGCTGTGAGCATGCCACTGCACTCCAGCCTGGGCGACAGAGTGAGACTCAAACTCAAAAATAAAAAATAAAAATAAAAAATGAATCTGCATTCCCCCAGTAGGGGAGGAAAAAACTCAACTACACATAACTGCATCATCCAAAAAAGGGAGTGACTTGAGTACTAGTTAGTGTGCTCCTTTGCATTTCTCATTCCTCCTATAGCTGAATAAGAATAAAAAACATAGCCAGGTATGGTGGCTCACACCTGTAATCCCAGCACTTTGGGAGGCAGAATTGAGAGGATTGCCTAAGCCCAGGGGTTCAAGATTAGTCTGGGCAACTTGGCGAGATCTCGTCTCTACAATAAATAAATAAATAAAATAAAATAAATAAAAAGTAGCCAGGTGTGGTGGCACACACCTGTGGTTCCAGCTACTTGGAATGCTGAGGTGGAAGGATCGCCTGAGCCCAGCAGGTCAAGGCTGTGGTGGCCGTGAGTGTACCACTGTACTCCAGTCAGGGCGACAGAGTGAGACTCCAACTCAAAAAAAAAAAAAAAAGAATGAAAAATATTTAGTTGACCTGGGATTAGGCAATAGTTTCTGAGATATGACACCAGAAATGCAAGTAACAAAAGAAAGAAAAGTATTATGTAAATTGGACTTCACCAAATTAAAAACTTTTGTGCTTCAGGGAACAACAGCAATAAAGTAGAAAACCTACACAATAGGAAAAATAATTTTTTTTTTTTAGTTGGAGTCTCACTCTGTCATCCAGACTGGAGTGAGTGGCACACTCACGGTCACCCAGACTCGACCTGCTGGGCTCAGGCGATCCTTAGCCTCAGTCTTCCAAGCAGCTAGAACTACAGACGCACGCTACCACGCCTGTCTAGTTTTTATGATTTATTGCAGAGACACGGTCTCACCAAGTCGCCCAGGCTGGTCTCAAATCCCTGGGCTCAGGCAATCCTCTTACCTCAGCCTCCCAAAGTGCTGGGATTACAGGCTGAGCCGCCGCACCTGGCCAGAGAAATTTTTTGTAAATCATAAATGGTGAGGACCCCAAAAAGAATGGAATCTATGTATTTAAAAATGGTATAATTTGTGTATTTATTCTTATATGTTTAAAATTAAGGCAACTTCAAAGTACTCTCTATTTTGAGGTAGGACAGCCAGCATAGCTTAGATATAGACAGTGAGTTTCTCACAAGCAGGCTTGGATAAAATAAAATAAATAAAAATCAGCCAGGTGTGGTGGTACACACCTGTGGTTCCAGCTACTTGGAATGCTGAGGTGGAAGGACCGCCTGAGCCCAGCAGGTCAAGTCTGTGGTGGCTGTGAGTGTACCACCGTACTCCAGCCTGGGCGACAGAGTGAGACTCCAACTCAAAAAAAAAAAAGAAAGTCAGAGGGTCAGGAACCAGGGCATTGTCTTATGGGGCATAACTCTTTTAAACTATACACTGACCAAAACTTAGGCCTGACCTTGGAAGATGGGATGGCTAGCTACAAAGACCTAGAACAGGACAGTAGGGAGTTACCAGGACACTGAGGCACGGAGCACTAAGAGAAAATATAATTAAGGAACAACTGTCCTATTATCCCAAAAGTTCCTCATGACACACAAAACTTAGAAGTAAAACAATAAGAATCAATACCTGTAATCAAAGCTTAGCTTACAAACAGGTTGCTTAACCATCATTTTGGAAATATATAAAGCCCTCCATTAACAGAAAGGAATGTGCCCTTTCCCTTAAGGCTGCCCATGTTCTCTCTTGAACATGCCATTTCTTTTTCTTTTCTCTCTAATAAACTGTACTTTAAGCCTTCCTTCCTGCACGAGCCAAGAACTCACCAACAACTACATCCCATGCTACTGGCATCACATTTGATACAATACACCTATTGAGATGCTTTTTCCACCTGCTCAAAACGGTTTTTGAACTCATCAATGTTGTTGCCTTTTATTGCTTCTGCCATTTTTTGTTTCACCTCTTCCACGTAGGCAAAATGTTTCTCTTTGAGGGTTTTTTCATCCAGGGAAATTTTTTAAAAGTTGATCAAAGGCCAGGTACAGTGGCTCACACCTATAATCTCAGTACTTTGGGAGGCCGAGATGAGAGGATTGCCTGAGTATACAGGTTTGAGACAAACATGGACAATGTGGTGAGCCCTCATCACTACAATAAATCAAAAAATTAGCCGGGTGTGGTGGTATGTGCCTGTAGTTCCAGCTACTTGGAAGGCTGAGATGGAAGGATTGCCTGAGCCCAGCAGGTCGAGTCGCGGTGGCCATGAGTGTGCCACTGTCCTCCAGGCTGGACGACAAAGGGAGACTCCAACTCGAAAAAAAATGTTGCTCAGGGCGAGATCAGGTATTCAGGGAGGGTGGGGGTTGGAAGTCATGCTGTTTTTGGTCAAACACTGCTGAACACTCAGCATGGTGTGGGCCGGTACCCTCATAAATCACTCATCATGAAATGGGTAAATGCATTGAAAGAATTTCCAGAAAAAATTCACTGAAGCCAAATGCAGCCTCTTACAATGCTAACTGGTACATTGACAGAGATGGGTTCCTAGAATACTTACCTCATGGAGAAAGCCTGTACTACAAGGACAAGCCAGTATTTCCAAAAGATAATTCTCTTTTTTTGGCAGTGGGGGGGATTCCCTTTGTATCTGATAAGGGACTAGAATCCAGAATGTATAACGAACTCTTAAAATTTAATGAAGAAGGCCAGACGCGGTGGTTCACGTCTATAACCCTAGCACTTTGGGAGGCCAAAGTGAGAGGAAGGACTGAGTCCACAGGTTCAAGACCAGCCTAGGAAACCTGGCGAGATCTCATCTCTACAATAAATAAAAAAGATTAGCCAGGTGTGTGGTGGCACGTGCCTGCCTGCAGTTCCGCAACTTAGAAGGCTGAGGCAGAAGGATCACCTGAGCCCAGCTGGTTGAGGCTGCAATGGCAGTAAGGGTGCCACTGAACTACAGCCTAGGTGACAGAGTGAGACTCCGACTCAAAAAAAAAAAAATTTAACAAAGAACCCAATTCAAAAAATAGGCAAAGGGTCTAAACAGACATTCCTCCAAAGAAGATATACAAATACCCAATAAGCACATGAAAAGATCTTCAATGTCACCTGTCATAGAGAAATACAAAGCAGTATCACAATGAAATATCAGTCCACACCTACTAGCAAGACTATAATCAAACAGACAAATAATAACAAGTGCTAGTGAGGATATAGGGAAACTGGAACCCACATACTTGGTTTTTTTGTTTGTTTTTGAGTTGGAGTCTTACTCTGGCGCCCAGGCTGCTGTACAATGGCACACTCACGGCCACTGCAGCCTCAACCTGCTGGGCTTAGGCGATTCTTCTGCCTCAGCCTCCCAAGTAGCTGGAACTATAGGCCCACACCACTATGCCTAGCTAATTTTTTGATTTACTGTAGAGACGAGGTTCCATCAAGTTGCCCAGACTGGTCTCGAACTCCTGGGCTCAGGAAATCCTCTTGCCTTAGCCTCTCAAAGTGCTGAGATTACAGGCATGAGTCACCAAGTCTGGTCTCACATACATTGATCATGGGAATGTAAAATGATGTCGCTGCTTTGGAAGGCAGTCCCCTCAAAAGGCTAAACATACAGTAACAATATAACCTAGCAACTCCACTTCTAGATATATATCTAAGAAAAATGGAAACATACATCTGCCACGTACACAGAAGTTCATAGCAGCATTATTCACAATAGCCCAAAAATGGAAACAACCCTAATGTCTATAACTGATAAATGGATGAGAAATATGTGATCTGTCCATACAAGAGAATATGATACAGCCATTAAAAAGGAATGAAGCAGTGATGTATGTTATAATGTGAATGAACCTTAAAAGCACTATGCTAAGTGAAAGAAGAAAGTCTCTGAAGATCACACACTGTATGAGTCCACGTCTGTGCAACGTCCAGAACAGGCAAGTTCATGGAGACAGCTGTGGGTTAGTGGCGGCCTTGCATGAGGGATGGGAATGGGAGTGACAGAAAAAAGGCACAAGATTTCTTTCTGGGGAAGTGAAAATGTTCTAAAATTAGATTGTGGTGATGGCTATACAACTCTGTAAATTGACTAAAAATCATGAAAAAGGTTTTCTTTTTTATATTTTCTTAAAGACTTCTAAATAAATAAGATTAAAATCAGCCGGGCTGGGTGGCTCAGCCTGTAATCCCGCGCCTTTGGGAGGCTGAGGTGAGTGGATTGCCTGAGCCCGCGGGTTCGAGACCCGCCTGGGCGGCGAGA